AAAGATCCAGTACGAGATAGGTAAGTAGATACAAATGTAGATAGAGACAGAGAGAGAGAATTTATTCAGAGAATTGGTGCATGCACTTACAGAGACTGAGAAGTCACATGCTAGGCTATCTGTAATCTGGAAAACTAGGAAGGATGGTAACATGGCTCAGCCATGTTTGAAGGCCCAAGAACCCAGGGAGCTGATGGTCTAAGCCCTAGAGTCCAAAGCTGGAAAACCTGCATTCTAATGTCCAAGGGCAGGAGAAGCTGGGTTTCTCAGTTCCAGGAGGGATAGTGATTCACCTTTTCTTTGCTTTTTTGTTCTATATAGAGCCTCAGTCAGTTGTAGGGCTCCCATCCACATTGAAGGCAGGTTTTTGCTAAAGGTCCACTGATTCTAATGTCAGTCTTTCCTGGAAACATCCTCACACATATACCCAGAAATAATATTTTGCCAGCTATCTGCTTATCCCCAAATCCAGCCAAGTGACACCTAAAATTAACCATCACAAGATGCTAACTCAAAACAGTTTTGAGGGGTGAGGGAGGAGGCTTCTTTTTAAATATCAGGTACATCCCACTAGAGATATTTTAAAAAATCTCAAATATTTGCTCTCCATGTGGCTGTACCACTGCGTGGATACACAGGTTTATTTGTCTTATTTTGCTTTTGATTTTTTAAAAGTTGACTACTTTTTCAATTTCTTTCAAAATTATAAGAAGTATTTACATTTTTCTCAAGTCAGATGAGTAAAACAAGATATATTCACAAAAGTTTAGCTTTTATCACTGTCCCCTCTATTTCTTCCTTTCTCCTATAAATTACATTTTTTGTTTTCCTTCCATTTCTTTTAATACAATAATAAATACATTTACAGACTTTCTCCCTTTATTGCAGGGGTCCTCAAACTTTTTAAACAGGGGGCCAGTTCACTGTCCCTCAGACCGTTGGAGGGTCGGACTGTGGGCCCCAGGATGAGTCGGCTGTTAAACAGGACAGGCAGCAGTGGCAAAATCACCCAGCGGGCCGGATAAATGTCCTAGGTGGGCTGCATGTGGCCTGTGGGCCATAGTTTGAGGACGCCTGCTTTATTGAATAAACAATAGCTTCCTACATATACTTTTCACCAATGTGCATTTTGTCATTTATCCAGTTATTAAGTATGAAGTGTCTAATTTCCTTAAGTACTAAGTTTGACAGTTGCTATCTCTGGCATTTCACTTTGACACCTTTTTTAAATTGTGAGCATACATCCTCTTTCTTTCAAATGCATGTTTTGACTTATGATTATCTTTCAAAATTTTTTAGAGCAACTTTTGTGAAACCATCGATAAGTAAAAAAATTCTGTTATTTTGAATCAGTTCCATTGTAGAACCAATGCAACCCAGACAGCTTGAGATGTCAACGCAGACAGCTTGATGTCAAGGACATGTTTGGGAAGGATGTAGCTAACAAATGCATAGTCCATAAATGATTTGAGAAGTTTCCTCCTGGTGATTTTAATCTTGAAAATGAGCACAGTGGGTGGCCTGAGATGAAGGTGGATAGTGATGAGCTGAAAGCTACAGTGGAAATGAATCCTCAACCTAGGTGTGAATTAGCAACAAGGTTTGACATTGCTATTCCAACAATATTGCAACATTTAGAACAAACCTGAATAGATGGGTTCTGCATGAATTAAATAAGCATCAGAAGAGCAGTTATCTCAAAGCTTGCCTTTCTTTCCTATGATGACATAAGGTTCTACCATTTCTACACTGCATGGTTACATGCGATGAAAAATGGATTCTTTTTGTCAGAAGTGCTTGGCACAATAGTTGGATAAAGAGGAAGTGCCAAAACACAGTCCAAAAGTGAATATTCATCAAAAAAACTAATAGTGTCTATTTGGTGGTCCAGTGTTGGCATTATCCACTACAGTGTCATGAAGCCTGGTCAGTCAGTCGTCAGTTACAGCAGATGTCTACTGCAGCCAGTTGGACAACATGATGAGGATGAAGATGCCTGTGATTAAGCTGCTGAGATTGGTCAATAGAGACAGGCAAGACAGCACTCGACCATATGTTGCACAAACATCACTGCTCAAACTACACAGGCTGGACTTATTTAGCAGAACTTGCACAAATTGACTACCACTTTTTCCAGGCTCTGGGGCACTTCTTGCAAGGAAAAATATTCAATTCTCTACAAGTTGTGGAAAATACCTTTTATGATTTCATCCCCACTAGCTCTCCAGGCTTCTTTGCAGCTAGTATACACAAACTGCTGTGAAGATGTCAAAACTGTGTTGATAGATTAGGTGCATACTTTGATTAATTGTACTGCTTCTTGTTTGAGAGATAATAAACTTAAGGCCATGGCTTAAGCTCAGTGGCTCACGCCTGTAATCATAGCACTCTAGGAGTCCAAGGCACGTGGATTGCCTTAGCTCAGGAGTTGGAGACCAGCCTGAGAAAGAGCTAGATTCTGTTTCTAAAACTAGCCAGGCAGTTGTGGTAGGTGCCTATAGTCCTAGCTACTTGGGAGGCTGAAGCAAGAGGATCGCATTAGCCCAGGGGTTTGAGGTTGCTGTGAACTATGGCGCCATGGTACTCTACCGAGGGTGACAAAAATGAGGCTCTGTTTCAAAAAACAAAAAGAGATAATAAACTTAACTTTTGATTAGAAATTAAACCTTTCATATTTAATGACCTAATAACTATATTCTATAGCTCCTTCCTTAGTAGGATAAAAAGCTCTTCCTTGTGCTATTATGCAAAAAAGAAAAAAGTGTACTTGACACCCGTTGTGAATCTTACTCATGCTTTGCTCTGTGGTACAAAACCCTTCTGGATGACAAAGGGATAATTTAAGAATGGATAGCTCCAGAAGAGTTATAGGAGGGCAAAATGAGGGAGCTGCTGTGCAAAATACTAACATAGCCAGTGCCAAAGTGGACCACATGAACATAGAAAGTAGACTGATAGTTACCAGAGGCCAGGAATGGTAGTGGGGATGCAGGAGGGATGAGGAGAAGTTGATGAGTACAGCTTCTCTCCAGGGGCACAATTAAATGCTTTGACAGAAGAAATAAGACCTGGTAGTAGATCAGTAGGGTGATTATACTTTGCAGTCATCTATTCTATATTTCATATAGAAAAGAATAATTCCAATGTCTCTAGCATAGAGGCTAAGTTTAGGTGATAGGTAATCCCAGGTATGCTGATTTGATATTTGCAAATTATATGTATGTATGAAATTATTACTTGTACCCTGAAACTATGTTCCTCTATTGTGCTTCAATTTAAAAAAATAAAAAATGAAGCCGTCAGTGCTTTGGTTCATTCAGAGCACAGATTCATATAAAGGCTTCATCCTTTTCTACATTAGAATTAGAATTCAGAAGTGAGATTATTGCCACAGGAATGCATCTCGACTCTCAAAGTGTGTTCGCACTCTCAAAGTAAGCCTTTTTCTAACAGAAAGTAGAGTCATGCACCATATAACAAGGGTTAAATCAAGGATGAACTGCATAGAGGACAGTGGTCCCACAAGATTGTAATGGGGCATACACAGAAACCTGATAGTCCTTCTAGATCAAGGAGAAATGACTGATATTTAGTAACAGTGCTGAGACATTTGGTTTTCCACATGAAAAAAATATATATACATAAACAAAAAAACATATAGACCACTTAGGTTTGTGAACTACGTTTCAGGATATTTGCACAATGACAAAGTCACCTAATGATGCATTTTTCAGAAGGTGTCCCCATCATTAAGTGATGCGTAACCATGTAAGTTACATTTGGTTTATTAGTTTGACAATAAGGACAGGCTTTGTCCTTAAAATTATGAGGCAGACATCCCCCCAAGATTAAATGAGCTAACATTGTAGCTTCAAGGTTATAAAAACATACATAAATGTGTGCAATATACAATATATCAGAAATTATATTTTTTCAACTACCTACATTTATTGCTAAAAAAGTAACACATTCCAAATTATAGACAGATGAGTAAAGATACATAACTTTAAAAGAACATTGGCATATACCATTTTTTCTCTAATCTTTTTGTGTTACTTTTTTTTTTTTGACAGAGTCTCACTATGTCACTCTTGGTAGAGTGCTGTAGTGTCACAGCTCACGGCAACCTCAAACTCTTGGGCTTAAGCAATTCTCCTGCCTCAGCCTCCCAAGTAGCTAGGACAGATGCCCGCCACACCAGTTATATTTTTGTTGCAGTTGTCATTGTTGTTTAACAGGCCCATGCTGGGTTGAAAGCACCAGCCTTGGTGTATGTGGCTGGTGCCCTAACCACTGAGATACAGGTGCTGAGCCTTAATAATTACTTTTAAAATTACTGTTTTTGTACTTTATCATTTTAGTAATAGATTTTGGAATTAATAGTCCTTGGTTTGTGAGGCATTTCAAAGCTACTTCACCTAGTGGTGAACTATGAAAAGAATAACCAGGACTATCCAGTTGGTTGAAAATTAGTTTCAGTTTTAGAGAACACTTAATGATTTAGTTCAATCTCATTTTAATGTAAAAAGTGCATGTCTGGGCCCAAAATGGACCAAATGTTCAGATAAATTGTAGCATATTCAAAACACAGAATACTAATCGGCAATAAAGATGAACGAATGCTACACACAATTTGCGGATGAACCTGTTACCTGCGTTAAGTATCCACACACACAAGCACAGAGTGTATAAATTTCATTTATATAAAGCTCAAAAACAGGAAAAACGAATGTAGGATTATAAAACTCAGAACAGTGATTACCTTTGGGGAGTAACGATTGAGCAAGGGCAGGAAGGACGTTCTGATGTGCTATTGTTCTACGTCTTGACTTGGGCAGTGGTAACAAAATTCTGTTCACTGTGTTAAACTCTATCAAGCTGAACACACACTCTTGTGCACTTTCTTGAATGTATGGTATATGTTAATAAAAATTAAGTAGAAGTATAAAAGATCTTGTGCTTTTTGTTACCAAAATGAAATTGTGGTGATTATTTTGTTAAGTATTCTATTTTTCCTATCTTTTATTGTTGCTGATGACAGGGATGGCACAGGTGACCACTTTGCCACATAGACTATCACTTAGCCTTAGCCTGTGCAGCTAATGCAGCCTCTTCACGCCATTTAGCTTTTTTTGCCAGGTTCCAACTTGTTAAGGATTCATGTCGTTTTGCAGCCTGAAAAAAAAAGAGAGAGAGAGAGAAAGAAGCAAAAAAAAAAAAGAAAAAAAGCATGTTACTTTCTGGAAAAAATTGTATTTTAGATAGACAGAGGAAACTTTGTGGATGGGAAAGTAGAAAGTAACTTAAAACATCAGTCACAAACAGTGTCCAAGAAAAATGGTCCTTTGGTAGGGAAACAAAAAAGTACTTGTAGATTTCCAACCAGCAGGACAGCTGATGTCAGAAATCTCCCCCAATCCTCTTTTGGCACATACAGACATGTTTGTTGGATAAAATACAACAAAAACATTTCCAAATACAAAATACTTAAGCCCCAAATCAAGAAAGAAATCCTCAGGTATCAGAAACAGAAGGAATTCAAGGCAAGTATTGGTTTGGTGGGAAATGGAACTCAATTCTCAGTTGCTATTTTAGCCAAAGAATTCCTGATCATCTTTTTAGTTTGTTTACTTGATCACTCTGCATTTTTCCCACTAGAAAATACCTGTTCTATTTTTTTTTTTTGCCACTGTATAATATTGCATACTGCACTGTATAAACTGCATAATTCCTGGTATGTTGCAGGTGCTAAAAAATATTTAGTATGCATTAATGATTGAAAATCAGTGTGTCTGCTGTCATACTTTTGGAAAAGAGGAAACTATAACATAACTGGTACCCTACTCAGAACTCGTTCTCAGTTGTTATTTTAGCCAAAGTTATTTGTGTTACCATCACCCAGAAAAATTCTAGCCATTGATTATTCACAAAAGAATTGTGTTTGAAACATAGGACTTTCCTCTGCAAGGAAAAAGAACTCTCCTACAATTCAAATTGTATGTGATGAAAATAAAATAGTTGTATCAGATATGTTTAATATGCCAAGTTGCTGATAAAATAGATATATTGAGTGTAATTGGTCTTCTTATCTCATTTTGGGACATGTAACTCACAGTTTGAAAAACATTGTTTTAATGTAGTATTGTACATAAACCATCACAGAACTATTCTAAGTAAACTTGTTACCTAATGTTTGTCTTTTTTATTGCAGAAGAGGCAATATAAAGTAGTCCTGAGAAACTAGAGGATCATCAATTTGGCAGTCTGTATTTATGTGGGGTTGGTAAAAAACGGAGATGATCGAATTTATTGACATGTTTGAGTATTCATCCCAGTACATGTTTTTTTAAAAAAATTCCTATTTGATGAGAACAACTTCCAAGCACGGGTTCTTTTCCAAACTGATAGCAATGACTGGACATGCATGAAATATTGATCAGCTTATAGGTCCTAGTCCCTGTGTGAAGTTATAGGGCTCAAATACACTTGAGCACCTGAGGAACAAAGGATAGAATCATAGACTTGGGCAAAATGGTAATAGACTAAATATGCCCAGAGAGTCAAATCAAACTGGATGCACTTGGAACTGCAGTGCTCCAACGAAGGAAGTTATTATCTGGCTCTACTAGGTTCAGTGCAGGTGCCACAGTGAAGGACACTGATACACTGGAGTGTGTCCAGAGGAGAGCTCCAAGATAGAGGGAAGTTGTTAGAGACTGAGAAATTCAGACCAAAACACTGAAGACGCATAGGGATGTATTAGTTATCTCTCAGTATTTGTGGGGTTGATCTTTCTAAAAAAGTTACTGGCAGGTAGAAGTATTTTGGGAGGCAGAAAATAAAATTATACAGAATATTCAGCTCTTAATTTTTTTCTAGAGGTATTAAACAGAAATTATACATTTGAAATAGCAAGAAAAGGATTTATATACAAAGATACAGATAACCTAGATGGTCTTGGAAATTACTTCCGACTATGCTATTTCATAATTCCATGCAATAGCTAGTTGAGTTCATGATTTAAGGAACAATCTAGTCTGGATAACTTTCATACAACAAAATTCTCCTTCTTTTACATATTTTAACCAGGTTGAAAATTATTTGCTTTTCTTTATAAGTGGAAACAAGTTTTTGTCCTTCTTGGTCACATAGTTAATTTGTTGACTCAAATTTCCACGAACAAATTTGTTTCTAGTATGACTGATATATGCAAGTGGTTTTTGGGTGTCATAGACAAAATTGTTCTTATGTTAAAGAACAATAATCTACAAATTGAGAATAAAGTTCATAACATTTCTGAAAATTCACAAGTCTTCCTTTGTTGTAAAGAGTTACTCACCCTTTTGGCTGATGCTATCACTGCAAAGCAGGCAATAATTGTGAGTCCGATCATTATGTAACAAGCTTTCACTCGAGCTTTGTTTCTTGCAGCATCTATCATTTCTGGCCTAAACCAAGATGTGTATTTTGTTAATTATATTGAAGTAATATGGTTTTCTTACGGGCACGATAGATGATTTGCTATGTAGATATTCCAAAAATTTCCCCAAATGCAAACTATAAATATAAAAGTCTTCCCAATGCTAGCCCAGTATCTTACCAATTACAAATCATTTATTCAGATATTAAGCTAATGTTAGCCATTATGACACCATGGTGCACTGTATTTCATTTCTAATTGCTCAAAATATAAATGCTAGATACAGTGACCTGACATGCCATTATTTTTATTCATTAATTGGGGTACAAGTAGGAGTTAAAGGATATATACGTCTATGAATTGTATTCATTCAGCCTCTGTGTTAAGTAGGCTTTGTTTTCCATTTTTAATACATTGTTCTTTTTTAAAACTCATTTTTATTACTTACTTTTTCCCCTGGCTTTCCACTCTATTCTTGTCCCTTCCCGTCCTATCCTGAAAAGAGCTGATTCTATATTTTGTGGGAATGAATGTTAGAGAAAGTTTGTTTCCTTCATGTTTCCTTCAGGAAGTTCTTAAAATAAGTTGTCAAAATTACAATGGTTTGTCAAAGAAAAAGGCACCTTCGTTTTCTTGTTATTATTCTGAAATTTGATATGTTTATTTAAATACTAGGTAATCTCACTAATAAAGTTATATGCATGTTTTCCAAGATTTAACAATAGTGTTAGAAAAGAAATCATGCTTGTCGGGCTTTTATATTGAAATAAATTAACAATTTGCAATAATGTGAAGTGGTAGTTTATAAATATGCACGATTAAAGCACTTGATTCTTGAAAATATATTCATTGGCATGCTTTCCTACCTAATGTTAAGTTTAAATAGAGCGTAGTCACATTAAAAAAATTCCAGAAAGACAAGTTACAATTTCTCTTAAAAATGAAAAACTTTTTTTTCCCACTGATTGCATTTGTTAGGTAAAGTCCCTCTTACAATCGTGTCTTGCCCCCAAAAGGGGGCACACACTGAGACCCTCCCTCCTTCCCTCTCTCCCCTATTCCCTTCACCTACCCACACCATGTCATTAATTGTCATTAATTGTCCTCATATCAAAATTGAATACATAGGATTCATGCTTCTCTAATGAAAAACTTTTTAAAAGAAATTTTTCTATTAGTTGAAAGACCACAGAAATCTGGACTTTTCCCCTTGGATTTAGGCAAAACAATCCCAAGTTTTAACACGTCAGTAGCAAACATGTTCAGTTAGTGACGCTGGACAGGCACATAATTATCAAATTATGTTAGTTGCTAACTGTTGGTCCAGATGAAACCTAAAAGCTCTAAGCCTTTTTTACTCATCCATTTGCCTTTGATCTGTCATACCAAATTAGTTTAGCAGTGAAAGAATAAGAAAAAAGTACAGTTATTATTAAGTATAATTAGTGTATGATACAAAAATTAGGGCACTTGTATAGTATATGTGCATTAAGAATATAAAAAGTGAAAGGCATTTACATGGTAAGTCTAATACTTAACAGGAATATCCCTTCTAAATTATATAATACTTTAAAAAAAGATTATAAAATGAAAAATATTCAAATACTTTCATGTTTCCAGCCCCAAACCACAATGCTTTTTATAGGCATTTTGTTCATAAATGTTTCTGTTTATTATACATCTTTTAACTGGGCTCCTAGGGAAATTAGATATTTCTGTAAAATGGGTTTCTGCAGACATACATCTATGTTAATTTAAAATTGACCACTGGGCATAGGTTCTCATGACAAACACTAATTTACAGTAATGCTGGATCTTTATGTTATTGATTATTCTGTTATGAAATGAGAAATCAAAGTTCAGACAAATGGAGGGTGGTATTTATTTTTTATTTCATTTAGGTTCTTTTTATGTCTTCATTTGGCATTTCAATTATAACATTCTCAGGTATCAATTAAAATTTGATAATCAGGGGCAGTGCCTGTGGCTCAAGGAGTAGGGTGCTGGCCCCATCTACTGGGGGTGGTGGGTTCAAGCCCACCCTCAGCCAAAAACTGCAAAAAAAAAAAAAAATTGGTAATCAGACCGTGTGATGATAAAGGGTTTTCTATGGCTAATTTCTGCTTTGAGCTAAGTCTGTAGTTTGGAGTTCATAGGTCTCCAAGGAAAACGAATTAGAAAATTATTCAGTTGCAGTTGAAATCTGAAAACAGATTTCAAAGGCCGTGCTATTTCAGATTTCACCTCTATGCCTCAGGAAGTAACTTGATCCAAGAAAGTAAGGAGAATATTTTAGAATTCATTACTGAGTGTACATTTCCCACTACCCGTCCAGCCCTTCCCCAGCCACTTATTTGAAATGCTTTTGGTAGCTGGTAAACTAAAACGAAAAAAACTGTAGGCAATGTGTGATGAACAAGGTACAGATCGAGTGCCCCTTATCCGTTTTAACAGGGATTCTTGAACGTTGTACGAATTTAGTATACAGAATCGCTGAAAACTTCCTTCAATGTTACGATTTTAGTCTTCCTTTAAAAAATAATTTCAAAAGTAGTAGATTTATTCTTAGTTTCTGTTACCTTTTCTTTTCTCTCTCTCTCCTTCCTTCCTTCCTTCCAAGTCTCACTTTGAGGCCCTTGATTGAGTGCTATGGCCTCTTAGCTCACAGCAACCTCAAACTCTTCCTCATGAGAGCGATCCTCCTGCCTCAGCCTCCCGAGTAGCTGGGACTACAGGCGCTGCGTCCGACACGCCTGGCTAATTTTTAAAGATGGGGTCTTGCTCCTCCTCAGGCTGGTCTCGAACCTGTGAGCTCAGGCAATCCACCCACCTCGGCCTCCCAGAGAGCTAGGATTACAAGCGTGAGCCACCGCGCCCGGCTTTTCTGTCCCTCTTCTTACTCATTCCCTTGTAAAAGTCATGAGAACTGCATAAACTGAAACTGCAGGAAAGCGCTTTTGGCAGATTACATTTGCTGTCTACCTATTGATTTATTTTACGGTTACATCACCTTTGAAGTGAAGTTGTTAGCTTGAGATTTATTGTTTACTAGTTAGGGAACCTCTGTCTTGGCGGGGTTCGCAGGCTGCAGAGGGCGACTAGGTTGACTCGCCTGCGCGTCCCCACCCAGCTGACCCGCTGCCTGGAAGGCTGCAGACCCTCGTCCACCCGGCGCCCGCCTCCCCAGAAGAGAAGGCGGCTTGCGGCTTCTTCCCGAGACCCTCCTGCCGCCCGTGAGCCCTCGCCCGAGGACCCGTTCTTCGGGTAGAGTCGCCCCGGGCCAGAGCTCGTCTCCCCTTCTGGTGGCCCTGCAAACACCAGGTGACGCAAGGACAGCGCTTCTGTTTGGCCTAACGGCCCTAACGCCTCGCCCACCTGCTTGGGAGCTTGCTGCAGACAGGGCATGTGGGCGATGGTGGAATTGCCCGCTGAATTTCTCCATTTTCACTCCGTTTCTGAGATCCCCCCCGTAAGCTTAGTTGCACACTGTCCAGTCAAGGAACTTGACACTGAGTTGCACTAGGGTGTGCAGCCAAGTTCCTTGAGTGGTGGGTGTTCCTGCGAACTGCGCTGTCGCGCGGGGCCGTGACGCTGCGATGCGGAGGAAGGAACCCCGCACCGCTGTGGACCCGGCCCGACTCTCCCCCGCGCGGCACCCGCCACACTTACGGGACCAGAGGCGGGATCTCCTCCATCGACTTGAAACGCCCGGTCCACAGCAGGAGTTTTTTGTCGAACTGCGAAGGTCTGAGCTGGGCGGGGACCCTGGAAACCTTCCCTGCTGTGAAAGCAACAGAGAGGGACCGAGGAACAGACAGACTCAGAGCACGGTGCATGGGCGCGCGGTCCACACTGGGCTGCTGGCCACGTCCCTTCGCTGCCCTTCTGCAGCCCCCTCCCTCCAAGCCATTCCCGCTCGAGCCCCTGCTCACCTTGACCGTGGGGCCCACGACCTCCGGGGAATTCGCCGCTGGAGTAGCAGGAAGGACCCCAGGGCGGGAAAGGGGTGCAGCGTCTGACGCGCCCCGGACCCAGGCGCAGGAGCCTCCTCGCAGCCCAGAGCATGCTGCGCGCGTTCCCGCCGCACCCGCAGGCGGAGCCGGAGAGCGGTGTCCGTGCCCACCCTCCTTCGCCAGCCCGGCACGTCCAGCGGGAGTCCCCGGCGCTCGCTCTCTCCCTCCAGTCCCGCCCACAGCTGGTGCCCGAGTGGGAGCAGCAACCAGGTCACGGCCCTAGGGGATGCTTCTCCTGGGAGCCGCCTGACACTACTTGAAAACTCGCAGAGCGCGCAGAATCCCCATCTCCAGAGAGCCGAGCGGCTCCTGTTAAAAGTGTATCTTTGTATTGAGTAAAAAGAAATGTGTTTCCTTCGGGCTTTCAGACTTTGGTCCCGCCTTTGTTGCCTGGGAGAATAAATCTAAACCCTCCCCTCCAGGAAGAGACCACAGTCCTTCAAAAGCAGGAAACTTCAAATATTTAGCAAGTGGTAGGGCACCGTCCAAATTTATGATTTCCCCATAAATATGATTTCCCCATATTTTTTGAAGTTAGCTCCTCACTCCACGCCTTCTTCCATAAGTTTTTTGCTTTTTCTCTGGGACAGGGTCTCTGTTGCCCTGGGCAGAGTGCCTTGGCGTCAATCTACCCCAGAGCAACCTCAAACTCCTGGGTTCAAGAGATCCTCCTGACTCAGCCTCCCCGGCAGCTGGGACTACATGTGCCCGCCACAACATTCCCGGCTAATTTTCTATTTTTAGTAGAGATAGGATCGCTCTTACTCAGGCGGGAATACCTGAGCTAAAGCGATCCTCCTGCCTCAGCCTCCCAGAGTGCTAGGATTAGGGAGGATGAGCCACTGCTCCTGACAGCGCTATTCTTTTTTCTAGGCAGAACAACCTCAGTTCCTGCAAGAGTTTTTCTCTACTTTTCCATCAGGAAGCCCAGGTACTCTCCAAACTCCCTTCAAAACGTGCCTTTCTAATGTCACCTTCTACCATCTCCCTGGCTGCTAAAAGCAGCAGGTGGGGGGGGGGGAAGAAAATCTACTATTCTCTGGTATTAAAAGGAGGGGACTTAGACTCCACATTAGAGAGAAGGCCTGTACAAAGCCCTTTGCTCTGAAGGAATGTGCTTGTTCATTTCCACAGACAACAGGCTGTCTGACCAGGTGAAAGTATTCACCCTCCCCTCCCATTACTGCCTCTGAAGTCCTTTCCCCAACTAGAAACTGTTAGACACTTGTCATTGAATTTCCTAATGTTTTTCTTCCTAACTTGTCATTGGATTTCCAATGTTTTTCTTGCCTTGAAGAGCTAGGAGAGCTTCTCTGTAACTCCCAGCTGCCCTTCAAGTAACTGTGGAACAAAAGAGGACAGATTATTAGCTCTGTACAGGCATGTGCATTTCCAGGCTTACTTATGAACCAGTGGGACAAAGAAGACAGATTATTAGTTCCATAAAGATATTTGCACTTAGAGGTTCACTTATGAACGGAACAAAGACTTTGGCTTCATACCTAGGTATAAATACCAGATGTGTATCTTAAAAGTTGTGTAATCATGAGCGAATCATTTAAGTCTTAGTCACACTTTATAAAACCACAATTCCTATCTACTAAGTTAATTCTGCAATAACTACCCAAACCTACTGTATCTGAGGTACCTCTCAGAGCTGATGATATCAGGTGGGGGTTAGTAGATAAAGAAAAAACAAGATAAAAAAATAAAGTAGACAGAGTTTGTGTAGGAGGTTGTTTAAAAAGGATGTTATGAATACCCCTCTAAATGTGCCTGGCTCAGTAATAACGCTTCAAAAGACGTGGTTTATTTAACTAGTTCACAAACAGAAGGGTATTTTAATTCATTCAATCTCCTACAGGGAATGGTGAGCTGAGCTTCCTGACCTTCGAGATTGTTAGTATACTTCCATGATATAGCTGAAAAATCAGCACTTAGTAGATATTTATAAGTATTTGTTAAAGAAATAGATGGATGCAAGTGTTCAAGAATAGAATAGAGTCAGTCTGGGTTAGTTTAAGAAAAGGCTGAAATAGTTCAGGACAATCTCTTCCCCCTTTCAACTTTGTATCTCCGGGGTCTATCATGTTGCCTTGCATATAGCAGTCTCCAAATAAAAATGTATGCAACCGAACTGAATGCATTCCTGCCTGAGAAGGTGCGGTCTCCAAATAAATATGTATGCAACCGAACTGAATGAATTCCTGCCAGAGAAGGTGTGTTGCCATAAATAGTATCTGATGGCTTCAGTATTATGCTACTTGAAAATTCTACAGTTATTCAAATTCATTTCTTCTTTTAGTATTTTATTTGTCTTACATTATTGAGAGCTGAGTATCCATAGAGCTAGAGAAACCATCCCTGAGAAACAAGCGATCATTCCTAGTGCACTAAAGAACTTTTTTTTTAAAGACAGAGTCTCACTGTCATTCAGGCTAGAGTGCTGTTGCCTCATAGCTCACAGCAACCTCCAACTCCTGGGCTCAAGCAATCCTCCTGGCTCAGCCTCCAGAGTAGCTAGGACTATAGGCATGTGCCATGACCACCAAAGAATATCAAACTAGCTAAATAAATTCCTTTCCCTGGAGAGAAGCCCATGTCATGCCTGTACACAGGATTTTCTAATTTGAGCTTCTCTCATATGGCAGAACCATAAGGCAAGAGAGTAAGGGCTCTCTTCCTGAGAACCAAGCAGAGAAAGCGTTCTCTCTATGAGAGAAGGAACAATCAGCATTCTATTTTCTATCTCTGATGGGATTAAAATATCACTATTTGGCAGTGGCCTACATAAAATAAATTGCTTCCAGCTGCATAAGAGATGTTTTCTTTAGTTCTGGAATCAGAACTAGTTTTTAACAAGCCAAATCAACTTCTAATAAAAGAAAAACATAATTTATTTCTTTTCTTATTTTAACCAGAACAGCACATTTATTCTTTAAGCAAATATTTATTTAGTGCTTGCTATGTGCTATTCTAGACTCTGAGGTTACAGCAAGTAACCAAACAAAAAATCTCTGCCCCCTCATAGAGCTTATTACCAATCCATGGTGGTTTCAGTTTACTTATTCTATTCTATTCTTTTTCAGCCCAATGTTTGTGTAATTTATTTCAATATACTTTTGTCAATGTTGTTCCTTCAAGCCTTTTTTTTTTTTGATTGGCATGATTTGCATTTCCTACAGCTAATTTAGTTGACTTCTTATGTTCCACTATTATAAATAGGAATAGATTTTAAATAAAGTAATTATGGAGAGTGTGATAATTATTTTTTTAATTGAAAGCTATGTGTTTTTGCTGGGCTAAGGCAGGGGATGTCAAGATAGAGCTGCAGAGCTCCCAGTCTGGCTGAGATGATAGTTCCTCATCAGGAAATGACCAACTCCCAGGAGAGGAGCTGCTTCCTAACTTGTTTTCCAATCCTCTAATCTCTTTGTAGGGAAAGCTCTAAAGTGAAGGTTTGTCTGCAGACTCAGCTCTCTGTGGTCTCTATGCTTCGGGCAGCATTATGGAGTGGGTGGCCCAGATGAGGGCCTGATTGATTACTCACTAAGCATGCCATTAAGACACCAGAAACAGAAGGGGCACCAAAAACATGAGGGAGCATTTGGAAATTCTTCTGAAATCCAGAACTTAAGAAAAAAATTCTCATGGGAACATCAGAGGTTTGTTGTAGATCTATAATGAGTGTGATTAACTGTGCAAGACCACTCACACCTATGCGTAGGGGGCAACAGAGTGGGATGAGGAGCTGGAGCAGCAGTAGGAACAGATACATCGCTCCACCCCCTGCCTCCGTCTCTACATGACCTTCTCCCCTGCGTCCAGATTTCCTTCTTCTTCTAATTACATCAATCATATTCAATTTAGGGCTCACTGTAACACAGAATGGCTGTATCTTAATTATATGACATCTGTAAAGACCTGTTTCCACATAAAGTACACAGGAAGTTTGGAGAGACATTATTTAACCCAGTACAAGTAGATAGATTTGATCAGGTTAAGAGTGTTTCTTCTGTTCTTAGTGTTCTTAGTTTGCTAAGATCTTTTCAAAATAATAAATATTAACTTATTAAAAGTGGTCGCTCATTTTTAGGGATAAAATGGGGGTGCTACATTAACAGATCTTAGATGCTTGAATTAAAATCTCCTTGTCTTGTTACAGTATATTTAATAGGCTGATGGATTTTATTTAATTGATAAATTTTTGAAAGGTAGCCTAATTATTTTTTTATAGTTAAATACCATTTTCTAATTCACTTTTTAAATTTAAAACATTTTAAGTTATTATGGATCCATAATAGTTGTAGGTACATGATGCTTTGCTAAAAACACACAATGTGAATTAATCTGATGGGTAATTGGTATATCCATCACCTCAGGCATTTATCATTTCTTTGTTTTAGAAAGAGTCCAATTTTACTCTTTTAGTTATTGTAAAGTATACCCTGACTCACTGTTGAGTCAGTTTGTTGTGCTATCAAATATTGTTCATTCTAACTAGCTAACTATATTTTATACCCATTCACTTCATTCTTAATCAAAAACTTGACTAGATAAAGTTCTAGGAGAGAAAAAATATATTCTTTGAAATCTGAAGACATTGTTCCATTGAACTCTAACATCCAACGTTGCTGTCAAGAAGTCTGATACAAACCCGATTCCTAACCCATTGAAGTAAAACCTCTCCTTTTTCCTGTAAATACTTCAGGAGTTTTTTCTTTGTCTCTCTAGTCATCTGAAACTTCAAAATGAGCTTCTTCAGAGCATCTGGATCTCTTCTCATCTGAAGAATTTGGAACATTGTGGGCTCTATTTTCTTGAAAACCTGCCATTTAGTCAGGTAAGGAATTTCTTGAAATTATTTTTGGTGAATTCAATTGCACCCTTTTTCTGTACCCTATATATGGAAACATTTTTGGATATGGAGCTGTCTTTGTCTTATCTTTTAAGTTACTTTTTGGAAAATGTTTTCCCTACTTTCAACCCTCTTTTTTTTTTTTTTTCTGGAAACAGGGTATTGCTCTGTTGTCTTGTCCACCAGACTGGAGA